ACGAAAATGTGGTCGTTATATGGCATTAAATAAGCATAATTATCATATAATGGCACCAACACTCGAATATAACACACATCCTTGGTCATGGAGTCCATGTAGTGCTGCTATGTTGGCGAAATTTCTCGAGTTTGTTACATATTTTATTTAGAAAAGCTAAAATAATTTATTTTAAATATAATTTTAATTTTACAATCTTAATATAAGAATAATGGGATCTTTCTTCCTTTCTTTTTTTTAGCGCAAATCGAGCTCAAACTCAATGTATTTTGGATCAACCGATCGAACGTCGCTATTACGATCGAATGTTTGAAGATCCGGCGCCTGGAGCGATGTTTTCTGCTAATCAACAATGCCAATTTGTATTCGGACCATCAGCTGAATTATGCCCTTACATGGTAGTTAATCAATTAATTTTAAATTTTCAACTTTTCATTTTATACGTTTATTCCTAAATTTTATAAAAGCTACAATTAAATGTTATAATGCAACTCACAATATTATCATTATCATTCCGCTTGTTTCAAAGTTTTTTTTTCTGCAGCCAGCATGTCGCAGATTATGGTGCGCGACATATTATGGATATCAGATGGGTTGTCGAACACAGCATATGCCATGGGCTGATGGTACTCCTTGTGGTGACAATCAAGTTAGTCATTGTTTATATTACTCAGTTATATTGTTCAATTTTTAAACCAGTTATTCACTATCGATGTTAATTTTTGAACAGCTATCCAACAAATTCAAATGATGAGAAGCTAATCAAAATGATTGTTTTGATAATGCGATTCATCATATAAAAAATGTGAAACTTTACTACAATAATACTAAGTATGTATAATACTGTTGTTACAGTGGTGTCACCGTGGTGAATGTGTAGGTATGGCACCTCAACAACGAGCTAAACTCGATGGTTCATGGGGTGAATGGAAAAATTGGGGCGATTGCTCCAGAACATGTGGTGGAGGTGTACAGAAAGCCTTACGTGATTGTGATAATCCAAGGTTCTGTTTTTTAAATATAATTTAAGGTTATTCTTTTGAATAAATGTCAAAAAAATCGAATATTTCGGATAAAGAATAAATAATTAAAAGCTACTAATTATTTCCTCTTATCAATTTATAGTCATATAAATAACTTATTTCTGCTCACTAGTCTATGGTTGTTTTTAAATAATTAAGTCATGTTTGTATGTTCTATGTGTTATAATATTTTAAAATTTTTGTTTTTTTTAAAGAGTTTTTTATCGCGAAATAAGAGATTTTCCTTTAAAATACAATCACTTTCAATGAAATATTATTGAAAAGTGAAATGAAGAGTGTTTTAAGAAAGTGATTAAAAATGATATAAAAAATTTGCTTATAGACCTAGTAATGGTGGAAAATACTGCGTCGGACAAAGAGAACGTTATCGACCGTGTAACATTCAAGATTGTCCATGGGATACACCTGGTTTCCGTGAAGTACAGTGTTCGGAATTTGATAATCAGGATGTTGGCATTCATGGAGTTCCTCCCAAATCACGTTGGTTACCCAAATATACCGGAGGTTTGTTGTACTTTCAGTTCGTTCATTCAATTCTAATTTTAATAATGATTTGTGCAGTGCAGTGATACATTTTTTATTTTAGTAAGTGACAATGAAAAATGCAAATTGTATTGTCGAGTAAGCGGGTCTGCTGCATTCTACTTGCTTAAGGATAAAGTTTTGGATGGTACTCCATGTTACCGACATGGCGATGATATGTGCATCGATGGCACTTGTCATAAGGTTTCTAAAATTTTCTGAATATAATTTCTTTTCGAAAAAATTACAAATTATAATCAAAATTTTTTTTTCAATTTTCTGAATGAGATATTCCGATAAATTTCTGACTATTATTCTAATGCTGAAAGAAAATAGAAATAATTCTAGGCTGGTTGTGACCATCGTTTGGGCTCAGAAATGCGACGTGATAAATGTGGAATCTGTGGCGGTAACGGAAGCACATGTCGGGTTGTATCAGGCAGCTACAATGAACGTGGATCATTTGGCTATAATGAAGTTTTGAAAATACCTGCAGGTTCGGCAAATATCGAAATAACGCAACATGGATATCACAATCAGAAAGAAGACGATAACTATCTTGGTAATTGATCTATGAGAATATTTTATCAGTAAACACTTCTGATAGTAAAGCACTATCATATATTTTTTTAATAATTGCTCGATCATTTGGCGATTTTATTTGATTCATTCACTGAATTATCAATTGCTTACGCAAGCATTCATTAAAAAAAAATTACTTACAGATGAAACTATTTTTCATTCTAGTTTTATAAGAAGAATTTTTCTAACTGATTACCAACCTGTGTTTGCAAACCAGTTGCAAGTACTATATAAGCCTGAAACTTATAAGATTCTAAACTTAATAAAGCAAGTAACGGTTTTACAGTTACTTGTTATTAGGTTTTAAAGTGTATTAGCAGTTTTTGTATTAAGCAATTATCAATTCGCATTGATGAAATTGTAAAAATATTGACAATTTTTAGGCTCATTTCTACATAAGAATTAAATATATTATAGCTTTGCGAAATGCTAATGGAGAATTTCTACTTAACGGGCATTATCAAGTATCAGTTTTCCGGCAACAAATTTCTATACAGGATGCAGTACTGGAATATTCTGGTAGTGATCATGTGATTGAACGTATAAATGGCACTGGACCTATACGGTTAGTTTGTAAAGTACTTTTATCAGAAAATAAAAATGAGTGATTTGGTTATTTACTAAAAATGTTTTTAGGACTGATATTTATCTCCATGTGTTATCGGTTGGAAATTTATACCCTCCAGATATACATTATGAATTTATGGTACCAGCACAAAATGTACGATTTGGATATGAAGCATCTGTGACAAATTACTACTGGCGTATTAGTGAACGTTGGTCAGAATGCTCCTCATTGTGCCAAGGTTATCTCCCTTACAAATATGTTTTTGTTTAACTGTAATAGACTTACGGTATGGTCATAGATTAAAGATTACATCTAAATTTCGATATAGATTCACTTAACTGATCATCATTATATTCGTACTGTCACGAAAGAAAAATCTTTAATATCTTTCTTTCAGGAACTAACGTATTATTTACTTTCATTTATCAATCTTAATCATTTTTCTTGCTTGATTCTAGAATGTCATTTTAATTTTTAGTATATGCGTTGTAATTATAATGAAAAGAAAAAAAGATCTTTTATTATTAAATTTATTATTAGTAATTTTTTTTGGAAAGAATTTTAATTTTAAAAAGACAAAAAAATTTAATGATTTTTAAAATGTCTTTTTGATTTTTTATTCTTAATTTAAGGTCAACAGAAACAGGAGCTTATTTGCGTTGATGCAATATCAAGTCGCGGCGTAAATGATAATTTATGTATATCACATCGTCCACCAACTGAAACACGAATGTGCAATATTGATTGTACTATTAAGTAAGCATTTCATTATTTTTCGATTTCACCTGCTCATTTTGTACTTTTCATGAGCACATAATTTTTTAATGATGTACAAATATGATAACAATAACAATAACAATATGCATATATCATAAGATTGCTTACAGGTGGCGTGTAATACCGATCGGACAATGCAATGCAACTTGCGGACGTGGTGAAAAACGTCAAAAAAGTGAATGCATTCGAAGTTATGTGGATGGACGTGAAACTGTTATTTCTGATTCACATTGTCATCAGTTAAAGAAACCAAGTGATCGTGCACAATGTTATGTAGATTGCTCAGGACGGAAATGGATATACACAGAATGGACATCGGTATGAAATCCTTTGAAGTTGAAGTTGGTAGAAACCAAATTTTATAAAATATTGGATAATTCTGGAATTAGAAGGGATTTCGATATGTATTAATGATATGCTAAGGATTCTTTTGATGCATTCATTAATGCAAAATATAATGATCAACATTTTTACAGTGTTCGGCAACATGCGGTACATCTGGTATCAATCGCCGACAAGCTTTCTGCATCGATCATGCAAATCGACGTTTGGATGATCGTGCTTGTGAGCAAGCAATTAAGGAGAAAACGGAAAAGGAATGCAATCGTATGCCATGTCCCAAATGGGTTTATGGTTCATGGTCTGAAGTATGCTAATGTCTACTTTGATTCTTATCACTCGAGAAATTTGATTACAATATAATCTCATCGTATTAAAGGCTTCTAAGAATGTATCGTCATTATAGTTATAATTCAGTTTGCTTCTAATATTGCTAATATAACATAAATCAATGGGCTATTGTAGTGTTCTCGATCGTGCGATGGAGGTGTTAAAGTACGACATGCATCCTGCCAGGATGCAGCAGGTCGTGAAGTACATTCGACAATGTGCAACAGTAAGGAAAAGCATGATTGGGAAAAGTGCAATGAGCAAATTTGTACACAGTGGAAATTTGGCGCATGGGGTAGTTGTTCGGTCAGTTGTGGTGATGGTATCGAAACACGTGATGCGGTTTGCACTGATCTAAGTGGCCGAACTCTTGATCAAAGTGAGTTTTAGTTGAATTGTCCTGAGAGAAAGGAAAAAATGTGCTAGAAAGACGTAATGAAATTATTCATATCGGAAAATTGATCGAAATATTATAGATCTCATAGCCATTTAGTTGAATTTCAGAAGAAAATGAAATTATTTAGTGTGAAAATAGCATATGTTAAGGTCTGTGTGATCGTCGTGAACGAATTGTACAAAAACCATGTCATCGTATGGCATGTCCCAGTTGGCATCTTGGATCATGGAGTGTATGCTCGGTTTCATGCCTTGATGGTTGGAAAACTCGGCATGTGTCTTGTGTTGATGCTAATGGTAATGAGGTATCCGATGAGCAATGCTTGAGACAGGGTGAAGCTCGACCACAAAGTCATCAACCGTGTAATCAAGGACCATGTCCATTTTGGAGAACATCTGATTGGACTAAAGTTTCCTTTTTTTCTTTTTTGATACTTTTCATGTTTACATTGGACATAGCAAGCAATCTTACCTATTAGATATTATTTAGCTACATTACTTCTTGATTCTCATCATCAAAAAAATAGACCTTACTTATTCTATAAACTTTCTTTTCTTTATTTTCTCAATCTAAATCTTCCTTATTTTATCAAATAACTACGAATAAAAGTGTAAACTCTTTCCAGTGTTCTGTATCATGTGGTGTCGGTGTAAGGGCAAGAAATATTGAATGTATATATCGAGATCAAGTTGTTGACGGTTCATTGTGTAGTGATACTCATGTTGCAAAAATTGAGCAGTGTAGGTAAGTAGTTGAATTATTTTTCCACACTTCATCCTTGTCTGAAGAAAAAACTTCTTAAGTTTCTTGTTAAATTATTGCATTCAGAAGTTCTCATGTTATAGTTTGTTGCCATGCGCCAGATGGAAAGTGCTTCCGTGGTCACATTGTTCTGTAACTTGTGGTACTGGTCAACAGATTCGTACAGTGCAATGTTTACGAGGAAAATCTATCGTTCATGAAAGTGAATGTGATATCGTAAGTGAATGAATACAATAAATATTCATTCAAAACTTTTTTACAGAAAACTTTTATATGTTTTGGCATTTTCTATCTACTTCAACTTCGATAAAAAATATAAGGCTTATATGTATTTTCAAGATTGCTTTATGTAATTTCATGTAATGTATTCGGAATCTTTTGACTCTCTATTCTTTTTCCATGTAATGGAAATAAATTTGACAATGCTAATTGTAAAATCTGTTTCATTTGGTCTCAGTTGTGTTATCGATTATTTTGAGCCTACTAGTTCGATAATCAGCCAAAAAAAAGTTAATTACAGGCAATACGTCCAAAAACCGAAAAGATCTGTGAACGTGATAACTGTGAAGTATTTACACAAAATGTGATCGATAGTACATTAAGTGACCAGCCAAAAATTCGTTGGGCTATTGGGCCATGGTCTGATTGTTCGCGAACATGCGGAAATGGAACACAGCGTCGTCTTGTAGTATGTCGCGATCATATTCGTGATCTTATCGATACATACTGTCAGCATCTGGAGCCCATTGAAACCATTCGATATTGCCAGATTAAACCGTGTGCGCAATGGACTGTTGGACCGTGGAAATCGGTATATTCTTATTTAATCTTTTTTTTGTTACAATTTTTGTGGAAAAAATATTTCAATAAATCGATTCGCATAGGATTGCAACTTTCTTTTTTCAGTTATAATTATTCTGCAAGATGCTTGTAATTATTATAATAATTGTCCTACAATGTCTGAAAATGGTAAATGAAACTGAAAGTATATCACATCAGTATTTCTCATCAAATACTTGTCGATACGATTTATGGCTATTATTGAGTACAAAAAAGGAAATTCCGTTAATAACTTCTACAGACTATAAAATATTCCGAAAAATCTGTTCTGAAGTATTCGAAACGATGAGTAATGCAAATGATCTTTTCCTAAAAAAAATCGAATGAATCTTTCGCATAAAAACTCCAAAAAAAATGAAAATTTAGTGCTCAGTTACTTGTGGTGTACATGCAACAACAGACCGTCGCGTAAGCTGTGAATCAGTGGAAGGTAATGAACAAGTACGAGAAACAGATTGTGATGTAGCGATTCGTCCGCAGTCAATCAGATCATGTAATTTAAATCCATGTCCAATGGGTGAACCACCTCTTGGATCCTGGATTACCAAAGACTGGGAAAAGGTCAGGATTATTTAGGCATATTAAACAATTGATTACATCGAATCCCTCTCAATTCATTCCTTATTAATTTTCCTCTTAAATTTGTTAGGTTATGAGTAGTTTGTGATAATAATATGCTATTTATTAATTACGGCAAAAATTTTTAGTGTTCAGTCTCATGTGGAGGTGGTTGGCGTAGACGTCTGGTTACATGTAGTACCAGATTTTGTAACGAAGAAAAAAAACCAGAACAGTTTGATCGTTGTAATCAGCAAAAGTGTGTAAAAGTTTCTAACGTCTGGCAAATGTCACCTTGGTCTCATGTGCGTCTCTTTTTACTTAAAACGAAGCATTTAAAATTTGCAATTGCAAATTATTAAACAGATAATATATTCACAACAAAAGGAGGAAAGATAGCAATCTTTAAGAAAAATTGTCAACAATAATTTACAAGTATAGTAAGTTTAAAAATTTATTATCTTATATCATACGAAGGAACTGTTTTTTTTTATTTCCAAAAATCATTTTGAACAATAATGCTGTAAAACAAACAAATTTCAGTGTTCAGTGACATGCGGTGGTGGTGTGCAGAAACGTACAGTTTGGTGTGAAGATGAGAAAACACGCGAAAGAATACAAGACAGAGAATGCTTACTTCCTGAAAAACCAACTAGTATTCGGGAGTGTAATGAGGTAGAATGCCAAGCTGCACCGGTGACAAACGAATACTATCATTGGTATGCAGGCAAATGGAGTCCGGTACGTACAAATAGACGTAAATATCATAGAATACGTGGAAAATAATATATTTCAATTTCATTAAAAAAATCCTTTTTTTTCTTTGCTTCTTTTTTTCTTTCATTTGCTTGCTCCGCTTACAGTATTTTGTCTTTGTCTTGTCATTTTTCGATGCTGTATATGTCTCATCATAACCAGTGCTTGTTGAAATATGACAAATGAAGTTATACACTTATAAGTATATTACTGTTGCGTGCTGTCTCACTTTCACCTTCTGTCACTTGCATTTTGCTCATCCAAAACGAACGGCTATGAGATGAAATTTTACTCATATATGTTTTAAATACATTATAATATTCAGTACATGTTAAAAGTGTCGTTGTCTGATATATATTTTTAATAGCAACGTAAATCACTAATATTGGTCAGTTGTTTTATGTTACAACCAGTCACTCAACTGCCATTTTTATTCTTTTCTTTTTCTTTTTATTTTTCACAATTCTGCACAAACTGTCCATAAATTATGTATCGTTTGAACTATCATCCATATCTTTTGTTAGTTTATTTTATATTACAACACAGGCAATCAGTTCTATTTTTGGATCATTTTTTCAATTAATACTGACAATATTTCTTTGTAGCTTCCATATAGTGGTAATCAATCCTTCTAGGAGCTTTTGTATTATTGATCACATTTTTATCATATTGCTTTTAGCATTGGTGTAAATGTTTTTCTAAGAGGAAGGAGTTAATCAGAATCGGATCTTTTTGTTAGCTTATATTTTTTTGTCAAATTTTACGAATTAATTAGTCATTTTCAATTTTTTAATAAGAATTGACGTATTTTTCTATTAATGTTCTAGTCAGAATATGATTAAATTCTGGAAAATAACTTAGTATAGGATAAAATAAAATATAGTCTTCCTCCTGAGATTATCATTCATATTCCATTATTTGCTTTTTATAAATCAGTCAGTTCTGCTTTTTAATTTTCGTTGTCATCTGCCATTTTGCTGCCATTTTGTTCAGGCTCTGCCGCTCCATCAGTGATAAATAATATATAATTGTTTTGACACTGCCTTTGGGAGCATGCCACAATTTTCATGAAATTCGTAACGCTCATTTTGCTTCATTTGACTTATCAAAGATATAAGATATAAGAATTATACAACCAAAGATTTATAATACCAAACATACATGTCATCTAACTAACTGAATTACAAAAACCATTATTGATACTTATCACCATTAGTGTTATGCTCTCATCATTTCTCGCTTTTTATCTTTTTTTTTCCTATCAACAACAAAATGCAATATAAACATAGGTATACAGTGTGATATGCTACACAACTTTGTTATCTTAACCGACAAATGCTGAATCGCTTACACTCCTATTCTTTTCTATATATAAAAATTTATCAGGATAATAATTTTTGTTAATTAATAATCATTTCCATTCCATTCTGACACTGAAATCTTTGTTACATTCAGCAGCTAATTCTGAAAAGTGTTATAATTTCTATCCATTGTTTTTTTTGCTAATTCCTTCACTCTAACTTCACTTCTCAACTTTCCATTAGAAGAAAAGTTGAGTGACAAAAGCGGTCATTTTTTTAAGATCTTTATAGCAAACTAAAAACTATCAATACTTTTTGAATTTTCATCTTAATGAAATTCATTTATTTAGATGTTTTAATGCTGACGCTTAATGTTCTGACCATATTTCTATAAGAGAAGCAAGCAAACTTCCCTGGGAATTCATAATGAAAACTATTTTATTTCGAGAGTATTACAATAATGAAATAATTGTAATAGTCAGAGCATTCTAAAGCTATCTATTTATCTGCTTGCTTTATTTTGTAAGACAATGTTATGATTCGTTTATTCTTCCTTTTTCATAAATAATTTTTTTTATCCAACTATATAATCAGCTTTTCTGTATTTCATATTACTCAATTTTATTTATTTTAATATTTATTAATGCATGTTACTTTTTCCTCTCCGTTCTAAGCAAAATTTTTTTTCTAATTTCCTTAAAAAAACAAAATGTTATTTGCTTGTTATTACATTTCTGAAATGAATTTCGTTTTTTAAAAATTTTTGAGATATAAAAATTTATCCATTCGTCGATGTCTGTTTGGTTTGTTGTTTTTTTTTTGCAGTGATCTTCCTAAATTTTAGATCGATGAGATAGGTATATTTTATTTATCCATCTATCAAACATATGTGGAAGATTTTAGATTTGGCAATAAAAAAAGGCAAAAAAATAATATCTCAAAAAATTTTCTGCGCTCGATGGGTGATTTCGCAGAAGATTAGACAACTGGTAGGAATTGCATTTATCAGAAATACCCATTAATCAAATTATGGTTTGCAAAAAAAGAAAAATCTGCTAACTTCATTATTCCAAGAAAGGTTTTTAACTTAATCACTTAGCTTGAAATTATCAATATTGCTGAATTTTCTGAATGAAGGTAATTTGTAATGTTGTGTGTTGTTTGTGCATGGCTTTATCGTTATTCTTTAATCCTTTATTTTTCATATAACGAGATTTTATAAGCAAATATATTTTCCCGAATTTCATCTCGTAATATTTTCTGTGGTTTTATTGATGCTTTTTTACATTGTTCTTTTGATGTGATGGTTGTGTATTATTATCGATTCTAATCTAAGCAATGTGTTTTCTCCGCTTTTTTATGTGCATATTTGGACATGAATTCCTGGATTGAAAACCTGAAATTTTCGGTAATTCAATTAATTCCAGTATATGTTCATCGGCAGAGAATGAGCATGAAAATTCATCGATTTTAACTTGTTTTAACTTGCATGCTGCTTTCGAGACTATTTCTAATTTAATTTTCAAAAATATAAGTAGATAACGTCTAGTACCGAATGATCTGGAGATATCTCTTTTATACTGGTTAGGAATTTATGCTTGCTTGTTTAAAACATGACTTATTTCAGTGCTTACCTGAAATAATCATTTTCTAGAAAGCAACATAAACGTGATGATTTAAATTTAAACAGCATGCTCTTGAATAATTGCGGTTAATCTTTTTTTTCCTTTCCTTTTTTCTGTTTCTTTTTCTTTTCCAAGCATCCATAGTTTTGCTTTTGCATTTCAGTGTTCGACAACATGCGGACGTGGTGTTCGTAAACGTATTGTGTCATGTGTTAATTCACGTAGTCATTCAGTAGCATCTAAATATTGTGATCCGGCAAAACGGCCAATTGATTCACATCGTTGTCGAATGGCGCATTGTCCACGTTGGAAAACCGGAAAATGGTCAATGGTGAGTGAATGGTGGAAAAAAAAAATATTTTTAATGTATTAGATTGTGATATCTTGTCGTGAAGTTCGGAGCTTATCTGCTAGCTATGCTGGAAGATGTCGTTGAAGAGTGCTAGGTTATAATTTGTGATTATAGATATGCTTAATTTAAAATTATTATATTAAATTATGAGATGCAACACCAGCCATTTAAAGTGTTCGAAGCATAGATGATATGATCCCAGCGTCTATTTCTGTATTCCACTAAATTCATTTGGTCATACAAATATAATTTCATGACAAAACAATTTATATTTGAAACAAAAGCTTTACAAATAGATAATGAAATCAATATTAATTTGGAATGAATTCTGATACACCACTTTTCCGTGTTAATTTTGGTGTTTACCTATCCAAAATTCAATAATCTCTTTTACGCTGATCAAATCGGGTAGTTCAAAAGTTCTTCGATCAATATCTATCTCGAGACAATAAAAATTACCTGGTTATTTCTTAAAAGAAATCCTGAAAAATCAATTGCAAAAGAAAGATTGTTTTGTCAGAAAAATTATGTCGCAAAGCTCGGCTTTTTATGCAGTCAAGATGAGATCAGCTAAGGAATACCACTGACTGGAGGGTGACGGTCTCTTGGTGTCTTTTCATGTGGAATTTTGACACCCAAAAATCAATTCTCTGTTTCGAGAGCAGATTTTTGGTGGTCATTGTTCTCATCTGAAAAAACAGAAAATAAGGCTTTCTTTAAAAACCAAAACGGATGTACTAAACAAGATTGGTTTCACGAGTAGTATTGTTTTTTTTTAGAAAGTGAATATCAGTTTTAAGACTAGATTACATACTGCCATTAATGATATCGCAATCTCGGTAATCTTGCGAATTTCACCACTGCTCTTTTGAAATGCAATTTCCTTGAAATGACAACTTTTTACACAAGCACACACACACAAACACACACACACACACACACACATACAACACACACACACACACACACACATCACACACAAGTTGGCATTCCTGACCTTCGTTTATACAGGGTAAGTGATTTTGTACATTTTTTTTGTAGATTTATTGTATTCATGTCATGTTATTACTTGTAGTGCTCGGTAACATGTGGTAGAGGAGTACGAACACGTGAAGTGACGTGTCAAAAAGGTCGACGAACCCACCTGACAGATATAGAATGTGCAAAGCTACCGAAGCCATTGGCAAATTCAGTGTGTATAACTATGTCTTGTCCTGCATATCATTGGATAGCTACTCCATGGTCAAAGGTTAAAAATGTTTATCCACATTCTCTTACATATTGTTTGCTTGCAGTATCAAATCTCCTATATACCGTATTTTGCGGACATCGCAGTCACAAGTGACGTCTAAGGAACTGACCGCGTATTCTTACCTTTTTTAATGTTTCATTTTTTGTAGCCCTCATCTGAAAGATATCATTCTCAACATCACACTTGAAATTATAGTGCACTGATCCGTGCAAGAGATCTGATCAACATCGTCGTGTTTATTGTGTCAGCAATTTGGGAAAACGTGCAGCGCCAAAAATGTGCAGCAATGAAACTGCACCAGAAATGACACGTTCATGTCCTGTTACCGATTGTTTCTATCATTGGGTACCTGGTCCTTGGAGTACGGTATGACTTTCATTATTCTTTTAATTATATGAAGTTTTTCGATAAGCTGTTAGATGAAATAATTGGAGAGAGATGGAGAGAGAGAGAGAGAGAGAGAAAGAAAGAGAGGTAAAAGAAGGTAGAAGTAAGGAAAAAGTTGCCTGTTATTTTTATCAATACAACACTGTGTAATATATTAGTCTTAAGTTCAAATATTGTTTTTATACTAACATTTAATACTTATCACCTAGTGGGTTACATACTAACTGGTTATTAAACGGTCACGTAAATATTTTGGTATGTTACTAAATAATAGATGAATAGTGATGATATTGCAGCAATGATGATTTTTTGTCTGATGCCATACGATGGTGTCATATTCAAAAGTATCGTTTTGAAAATATATTTATTTCTTCAGTGTTCTAAAACGTGTGGCACGGGATTTCAATTCCGTCGAATCGAATGTCGTGTGCGCAGTCAAAATCATAGCTCGAGCGCAGAACCAAATGTACAGTCGAGGATGTGTAATGGATTAGCTCGACCATCCGTTAGTAAGGAATGTGCTATGAACCCTTGCGATGCTAAATATCGCTGGTCCGTTGGACCTTGGTCACAGGTAATCATTGTTTTTCCTTTCATCTCTGCTTACGTCCTTTCATTTTGCACTTTCTCTTCATTCATAATGTAATCACAGGAGTGTTTTCTTTTTTTTTGTACGCAATATTGCCTAAATTTAATATCTTCTCATGATATCAACAATTTCCTAATATTTTGTTAGTCGTTATCACTTTATAATTTTGAAAAAATGATCTTGGATGCTCAGTACAATAAATTTTTTGACAGTATGATTGCACGCTAAACACTATCTAACTGTAAGAAATTTGTAATTCCATTAGTCAAAGTGTTTCATTCTATCTATTTACCTAGCAAGTTTAGGCCAGCTAAATATCATTTATATTTACTATTAGTTTGTTAAATCATGTTCTGCCATGTTTTGACACTGCTCAAACTTTGTTACTGCTTGAACTTCCAAATTAGTAGGTGAAATTACCATTCTGTGGGAGTGCTTAGTGTTCAATTTATAAATGTGTTTACTAGTAATACTAGTTAGTTTCTGGCTCATGAAAAAATATCTATGTTAAATTCTTTTCGAATATTCGAATATCTGTGTAATGCCGACGTAATTTAAGATACAAAGTGTCGTATTACACCTCACTATATTATTATGCATCTTGATAAAATTCTTTTATCAAGATAACATACTGTGTAAAGAAGGTATCAAAATCAATGAGATACTTTTTCTACAATCATTAAGTTACAGTGTTCGACAAGTTGTGGTCCAGGCTATCGAAGACGTCGTGTGCGATGTTTGGATAGGGATGGTCGACGGGTATCACGAGATCTTTGTGATCAAAGTCCAGATAGACCGAAAAGGCGAGAAAGCTGTTTCCTGAGAAATTGTAAGTATTAAGAAATTTATTTAATTATATCGGCACCACCATAATCAGTTCCCTTACAAACGTAGATGACATAACATAGACGAGGTTATACAATATTGTTTGAAAGTACAAAATCTATTTAGATGTAAAATTTTATGGCAATTTGCTCAACTTTGTTGATTTCAAGTGCTGCGAATTGATGTAAAGTGAATCTAAATTGGGAATTAGGTGAAACTTGTCACTTACATGAAGGACAGTTTATTAATTTTACAAGTATCATAGATTCTTATTAATAATATATTCCAGGCTTACCAGGTGATTGTGCTGAATTGAAAGCGTATTATACGCAAGAGAATAGCGTCGATGGCAATTATACTGTTTTGGTTGCCGGTTTTCGCATTACCGTTTATTGCCACCTAATGAATGAAACACTACCAAAAACGTACATCAATCTCAATAGTGAAACTAATTTTGCAGAAATTTATGGAAAAAGGTAATACCAATCAAAATAATTGTGTATGGATTGATACTAAAAGTACTTGTGAGGAATGCATTGGGATGTTTGCATTGTTTCAAGGTATTGTTGAAATATCAACTGTTTTCCTTTTTTTTTTTGAAGGTTTTATTATTTTTCCAGTTTTTTGACCCAAAAAGTTTTCATACTATCAGGCAATATGACCCATTACATCAAATGATCAAATAAGTTTTGGTAATTGTTTCTGCTGCAAATTTGAAATATCTCTTTTATTAACAAAATAAAGAAACGCAGGTAGAAAATGACAATTTTATAGTTGTAATTATTTGATATTTTTTCATTTAGACTACTGTACCCATTTACATGTCCTCATAACGGACAGCGTAATGATACATGCATGTGCACGGATGATGGAAGTGCAAGCGCCGGCTTTTCCAGTTTCTCAAAAGTTCGTGTTGATCTTCACAACATGAAAATAAACAGTGAGTTGTTTTTCTTTCATTTAATGCATGATAATTTATTTCTTTTTTTGTTGACCTTGAAAGTAATAGGCGAAATGATGTTATTCTTTTTACTCGGGTTTATTGCCTTGAACTTAGAATACTTAATGCTCATCTTCATTATAGCTGAAAAGTTAAAAACGAATTAATAGGGGGAAAGTTTTGAGGTGGACGAGTTATAATTTAAAGTTGTTTGTTACAGTTCACGATCACACATTTGCAACAACATCGCATGGTGAAGAAGTAGCTTTTGCAACAGCTGGTGACTGCTACAGCGCTGTTGATTGCCCACAGGTTTCGTTTTTTGAACCAATAGATATTTTTTTCTTAAGTTATTTTATTGTTAAAATTTTTCATGCGAATTTGTTTGCCATTACCTAAAATAATACCTTCAATTGAAAAGTTTTTATTATCTTTTCAGGGTCAATTCGGTATCGATTTACGAGGAACGGGTCTCCGAGTGATGGATGACCTTCGATGGGTTGATCAAGGACACCGTACAAGTTCGAGAATTGAGCGTTCTGATGTATGTTCTTTTTAACAAATATAAAATATATAAGAAATATTTGAAGCACTCTTGAACATGTAACTGGTAATAGTTTTGTGATGAACTATTCAGTAGTGTAATCTTACATCGAATATTGCTACTGACATGGATAAGACGAAACCTCCGAAACCTCCGATAATGGAAACATAAAAAAGGTCGGACGAATTGTGTGTCGATTTAAGACATTCCAATATTATATTCATAAAAGAGAATTGATAAAATGTGTTCAGAAGTATCATAACGTTTATGAAATTTAAATGATCAAAATCACGAATAGTCTTAAAAGCTTCAGAAATAATTAAAGTATTATTAAATACAGAACCGCTTTGTTCATTATACGTCTTATTTATCCGCGAAAAGATTTCTCAAGATAGTTTTACTCTTCGTAACAATCAAAATTATTTCATTTGTCATCAAACTCGATGGTTATTAGAATGTTGAAAATATTACTATTATTCTTATTGCTTTGTGAGCAGATATTATTTTTTGCAGAATAATGCACGAATATTTGGGCGTTGCGGTGGTTACTGTGGTCAATGTAGTCCAGATAAATTTAAAGGTTTGGTAATAGAAATTGACCATAAGCAAAATCCGAGTATTGGTGTAGGATGAAAAAGATGATAAAAGTTGTCAACAATATTATCATACGACAGTTTATGAGTTATAGGATGACGATCAAAAAAAAAAAGAAAAAAAGAGTAAAGGTTAATCCATACAGTAGATAAATATTAAAATAAAAACAGGTAAAGATTCACCGATGATTTATGTTAATTCTATATACACGATGAAAAAGGATTTAAAAAATTGTTTGATTTGGTTTCTTTCCCCAGTAACATTTCATGTAATTCATACACACTCCGTGCATAAATTAGTTAGTATTAACAAAAGAAAAAAAATTATCAATGAATTTACGAAAAAAAAGAAGTGATATAGTGATTTTCAACAGTGTATGCAATGCTTTAAAATTATATGAAAACAGCATTTGTTTATTTATTATTTTTATTTTATATTGAATTTGTAATAAGAGTCTCCATATATAACTTCATCTCTCTCATATCGTCTTATAATTTTTTTTTTGTCTCTGTACTATATCTCAAAAATAATATGCAGGAAGTTAATTTTCTGTGCGGTACTCACATAAATTTAGGTAAACATTGCTGTACTCTTATTTGTTTTTTTTTACTTTAATCTTTATTGTTGTGAAAGCAGGTTAGGGATCATGAATTCGTTACGTTACGAATTCCATGAATATTTATATGTTCGTTTCATATTTTTGATAAAATAAATTTTGAAATTAGTAGAAATATAGGAAGTTTGTATTATTTATTTTTTTGGAAGAATTTGAAATTTCATTTCAACATGAAACAAAAAATAATGATTTTGATCTTACTCCTATGTCTATACGTAAATGATCGTACTTTAGCACTCTATCTGTTAGCTTTAATTCCCAAACAAAACCATTTGGAACTGTTTTAGGGCATTTTGATGTTTTGATTTTGCGTTAATTTTCTTCCTCATTATTTAAATACGCCAAACAGCATCTGATTTTTTTTGTCAAAGAAATGTGAAGTATGAAATCCATCAAATTTCTTAAAAATCAATGTTTAAAATTTGCTGCAATTGCAAATTGACTTTATAACAGATTACTATAATTTGCATTACGTACATGCTGTATGGTATCTGTTGCAGGATTATTTATTAGTGTTTGTTTTTAATTTACTTGTATACATTTTTCTTCTTTTTCATTGCCTTGAAGATGGACAAAATATGGAAATATCACTTTTAGACATGATTTATTAGCATATATTATCTTCTATTAACACTAGAAAAGTGTGCAGAAGAAATTGTCAACAAATTGCTTAAAGAATGTATTTTTAGTCCATCTTCATTTTTTCTTTATTGTTATTACTATTATTATTAGCGAAATTATTCAGAAAAAAAATTTAGTAACAGCGAAAGGAATAGCAGGTTTGTTAGGGTACAAATTGCATAAGCATCGTGATCATTTCATACATGCATTGCCGATTTTCTTTTTTTTGTCATTATCATTAATGTAACTGTCTTTTTCTTCCTTTAATTATTGGTGCTGCTTGGAAATTTCACTAATTTTTAATTTTAAAACACCGCCCACTTTGTTTTGTCATATTTTAAAAATGCTTTTGTTTTTTAGCTCGAATTTTTTTCCTTCAATAATTTCGCCACTTTTTTGTTATTTATATTTTTACTTCACAAATGGGCTCTTACAACTATTAAGTACTATTTATTAGAAATCAGTATTATATGTTCTTGACAAATATTCCCATATTTGTAATCTCTGTCAGCAAGTTCACGACCTTCCTCAGTAAAGTAGCACTTCTTTTTTTACACGACAGTGCACCGTGCTATTGTCGCAGACTTCGCGTCCGTTCTATGACATCCATCGGATAACAACCAAATCGTCATTACTTTTCATGGAAATCATTTAAGGTAAAAATTGATTTCTTTTTCCTTCAGTTATACTTTCAAAATGAGTATATAAGTTTAGAAAACTGTGAATGTAAAAAGGAATTGAATAAGTGGAAAAGTAAGAGTTCATCTGGTCACCAAGTATAACTATGATGTCCATATGAATAAACACTGCCATCTTGGTGGTCCATTGCTTCACAGCATTTCATTTTTTTTGTGGAAGGCACGACGTGGCATTGCTCTTCTTAAACAAATCAAATCAGTGTCACTGCCTATTACTCATCATGTAAAGCTAGTGGAAAGAACTTGCAACCCGTCTACGCCCGTATTGTAAACGATCTCACTCGCAGTAGCTCATTTCATAACTGGATCCGGTTGAAATTATTCATTCAAGAAGCATGGTGTTAAGAATGAGCCCCTGTTTGAGAAATGCTGAAATCCGTAGAGGGTCAGATGTTCGATATTGGTGTAAGTAGTGTTGGTATCGTCGCAAATTCGAGAAATCAGGCAAAAAATATGTTTACTACTTCGCAACGTCTTCAATGCGGAAAGAAGCACTGGAAGAAAACATTAAAAAATGAGAGGTAGCAGTTTCAAAGCAATAAACATCTACAGATACTTCACTAAAAAAGAGAATGGAATTTTAAACAGCTTAGACGAGTTTGGCGACTTCCCCTTATAAGCAAACAAAAAATCGTAAATAAATATATAAATAAAGTTTCATGACTGTAATTACACCACCAAATAACAGCGAATTAAAACTTCGAGAGAGAAGTCAGAAATTTATACATGATATGACAATTCAGTCTTACATCCAATCACTGAACCAACCACGAATGTACACCTCGTCATACGGAAAACAGACATAAACTGAGACAGAATGACAAATCAACTAAAAATTCAAACACAGAAATTCCATTTCTTTCACTACAATATTAATCTGCATTTGGTTTTGAGTGGTAGCTTTCCGAATAAGTTTTTAACCTGTTGCTACAGGTACAGAAATTTATTAAAGTAAACTGAAATTTGACATGAAACTTACGACCCCTTAAACTACAAACTATTCATTAAATTACTGTCAACACTGCTGGTGGAATTGTTTAGAAAAAAATTGTGCGATGCGATACAGAGACTGCCTGAAAGATCATGGCTAGAAACAGGATGATGCAAATATGCGTATGAATAAATACAACTACATTACCATAAAAGTGAACTGTCACCCGAATTCGGAAACAATTACTAGTAGCAATTAAATACAGAAAAGCACAACAATAATCATTTTATGGACGGCTTGGAAAACTACAAGCATCTCTTTTCATCTCGCAAGTCTAATAAATATTACATACATAAAAGGAATGTAAAGCAGTAGTGCCAAGCATCTGAATATCGTAATCTACCAGTAATAATATGCTACTGTTCATTCTTTGAAATTAATTACGATTTGTTTTTGTTTCAAATCGTCAAACCGATCCATCGTATGTATTGACTGCACCATCAAATAACCGAACAACAGAATGCTTATAAAGACAACAGAAATGATAATGCCCATCCAACTGCCAGCACTAAACGTTCCAACACAATCCAATGTATGGTATCCAAACTGTGTCTTGTCACCTTTAAGTCCCAAACTCACCTGCAATTAATTGCACTTCATTTCCGTCAAGCAGTCCAGTATTACTGCTCATCAGGTTTCCAAACTTTAATATTTCCCTTCATTTTCTGTTTTCTTTTTTTCATGCAGTTTCATTAAGATAGCTTTAAAAGAAATACGATAAAAAATAGTGAGAAATAACTTCAGTTTTACAACTATTTACCTCAAAATTCCGTAATGCAATTCCAACACGTGTTAGATAACTACCACTCGATGCGTTGAAAATTGCTGCATCCGTTTGAGAACAAGCAAAATTCTGATTAAAGACGGCTCCAACATCTACTGGATTGGTAGCAGTACCACTACTTATAGTTAGGTCATGCTAAATGAGAACTCATCGTAAAATAAATATCATACACCAAGAATATGAAGACTGTCAACTGTAAAAATGCCATGTCTTATGACTGTGAATATAAAAAAAGCGAAAATTATCCGTACTTTCAATAGTGAAATATAGTGACCACATTACCAATACTTTCTAAAGTATTTTATGCAAAAAAAGAAGAAAGCAAAACAAACTTCATCGCCCATAGCTGTAATTTTGAAACTATTCTTTAAGCTCGTACTATCTAAATACCAATAGCCATTTCGACTTCGTGCGAAATCTAACCTAAAAATATAAATTAAAAGCTTTAATAGTGATATATAACTGAGTAATTCGTTGAAAATATGATGTGTCTTACTGAAACGTTATCGTGGTTCCACTCTTCAAATAGAATTGTTTTTTGGTGTCTTCTATATTCTCTCCAACTTCGACATCAATTATGAAACTATAACAAAAATTTATATTAAGCAGCAGTGTGTTAATATGTATTCGTAACTAATTTTCAAGACACTAAAAAATAAAGATAAACTGTACTGCTAACCTTGCACCACCTTGATTACTGCTCACATTACACTTAAAGTAGTCCGGCTCAGATAAATACTTGTTTTTGCCCTCACTACCAACAGTTATGAAACGAGAGTTCGGAATAATAATGTCAAAAGCTTCCATGTACAGCAGACATGTTGTTTTTTGTGATGGATTAGGAGCAGGCAGCACAACAGGCATATCCTAAAAACAAATTTGTGAATAATTACAAACAAACAATTTCTGAAAATATCAAATAAATCTACACACAATACTGTAAATAATACACCAAAAGATCACTAAGAAACAGAAAATCTTTTAAGAGAATAAAAAATAGGTGTAACAAACAAAACAGTAAAGCGAGTGCAAGTAACCACTCAAAGATTCAGGTAAGAAATCATGCGAGACACATTTACTACGACTGTAAAATATGCACAAGTAATTAACAAACAGCAGTTTCACTTCTGCATTTTTATTAAATAAACTGTCGTACATGTGAGATATAATAAATCAAACAATTGGGTGTGGATGATAAAGTAGTGAAAGAATTCTTATACTCATTATAAAACATTTATATCATAATACTTCAAGAGCGTTCATGAAATTGAAATTTTGACAGATTTTACTTCAACCTCAGCTTTCCTGGACAGTATCAAAACTGTTTCAGTAAAAATATCGAGGAAACCAGGAATACCCGTCATATGTACGACAATTTATCGATATTTTGCCAAAAGGAACCTGCACTAATCTTTAAAGAACATCAGACAACCTTGTAAACATGCCATCTTAATTTTCGGCGCGCATAATCTCTGTTAAACTTAAAAGAGAAACTTATCATTTTAGTTCCATATCTCATATATTTTCCTGATTTAACGATAAAAATAATAACTTTATTATACCCATTCATGCTTTAAAAATAGCATGTGTATTTAAAAAGATGTTCTAACATGGTGTAAACTATGCTTATACATATGTTAAAGAAAGAAAACAGATAACATGTTAACTAAAATGATCGAATCATCCAGGTCAAAAACGACAAATCTTATATCTGATTACTTTCGAAAACATTCTATATAAATTGACACTTCAATCTCTCATCGATGCGTTATGACTTCAAATAAAAAATCATATCTATGTTCGCTTGCGTACTCTGCCTGAGAAATGTTGCTACTATTAACAGATTCTTTAAAAAAATTATTGAGATAAAGAAGAAAAAATTACATGACGATTCGCGGCAGATAACCGCTTTCGACTACTTGCTTTAGGAACTTCATCAGATGAAGGTTCGTCATCAAAACTAACATTCGAGGAAACACGCTTACGACGAACCTGCAATGACTACCATAGTGAAAAGTAAAGTGATACAATTATTCGAACATGTACTGTGCACAACAAATAAAAACAAACCAGTTCTTTTTTGAAAGTATTCGGAGAAGAAATGATAATTGTCTGGTAGTCTTTAAAATTCTCATTAGATGCTAGAAAATCATGCAAATCTTTGAAACTATCAAATGTGGTGTAATCTACACCAACAGCTGATTTATGATCATTACCAGCGTTAGAAGTCACCTGAAAAAGTTACTATACGAAAATCCAATAGAATATAAATGGAACAGTCCATAAAAAATAATAAATCCATCTATATCTAAGAAAATGAGCGGATTCCTTTGCATAGCATAAGGATGAAAATCTCGAAAATTATACGATTAGAATTATATCTCCTCCCCCCTTCCCCATGATAGCGTCATGGGAGCGAATGATACTAATCACTTCAACTACTAAATGGTACTCTGCTTTATGAGCATTATAATCGTTCGTTCTGAAAGTCTTTCGTCCCAGAAAGAGTTACTGTCGTATTAGTTTCCCACTATCACTTCCATTTACAAAAAAGATAAAATTTACCATTAACGGACCATCCACTGAAAGCGTTTTCTGATAAGGAAAGATTCGCATTACTGATGCAAAAGGAGCATCAGAGTTTTCTGCGCTGTAGGCTTGCGCATATATGCCAAAATTTGGTAATAAGAAATCCTTAATACCAATAGCTAGTACTTTTGAGGATACTGTCAGGTCTTCTATTGTCATTTTTCTGAAACAAAGAACGAAGTTTTAGCATTTATTATATCATATGAAAATCATGATTTACCTTCGCCACTGAATACGACCGCAAGGTTTCCCACGTATATGAAATGCAGTGATCAGAGCTGTCAAAGTACCGGTTGGTATTAGACTTCTCATTGTATAACCTCCCTCCTTCACCCAAAACAGCGCGCGTCAAATCTTAGAGAAGTCAAAAGAATACCGTTAGATATTCGACTATGGGGGTTAGGTCCAATAACTATTTCTAATCTTCGGAGGAGGGAAGCGTAATTTATGCTGCACAACAAAAAGTGTCGACAAACATTGAAGATGGAAACTTACTTCGGATTCAGCGTCGAAAGAATAATAGTATCATAGGCAATGCAATAATGGAACCAGGCCACAAAAAGTGTAGCACAAAGCTTCCACATCTACAATGTATTACCTTCAAGTTAAGTACATGCTCTTATAAAATCCGCGGAAAAGGTCAGAGGATAAACAACTGATCATCAGACACATGACTAGTGATATCGTAACTAACATCAACAGGACGAAGGTGTAATACCATCGCGCGGAATATGAATAAGTGTAGAAGGCGATGAGATGATCCTTTTTATTCTAAGATTTTCTGTCCATAAACAGCTACATTTATATAAATACTTATCCACGGGAAAGTTGCGGAAACGAAACAACTCCCGAACTATAAAAGTGCCCTCCTGCTTCCCATCTACCACCGAATTTAAGCATGCGCGAAAACCAAAGATCATTTCAGGACCTTAAAAATTAACACCTTCGCAGGTTGGCAGACGAATGGCCATTTTGTTGCGAAAGCATTGACAGTTGGAGGAGGTACGCGGTGGTATAAATGAGAAGAGATAACTGGATGGAGGTGCTAAAGACATGGATTGGTCTGATATAATGCCGGATTTCCGGATGATAACACGGATTGGGAGGTTATTAGTAGTGATGGAACACCTAAGGAGAGAAACGGAAAACGATGTTATTCCATTTAAACTCATAGTAGTATGCTTAAAACAAAAGAGGCACTGAACGAAAAAGAAAAAAGCACCCTTGAAACGAAAAAGGCACCCAAAAAAGCTCCAATCTCATCATTTTCACTTTACTGCATTCTATATTTACTTATTTTATCGTTACATTTTTTTGACAAGGAAGGAAACGGTAGGTTAAAGTTCTTATTTTTAATTTCTTGAAATTAAATTTCTAAGGAGAGCAAGAATATACAAAGGTAAGAAAAATAAGTAAAGTTCATATTTGACGGGAGAAAATGAAAATGGAAGCCCAAATTTTGCCGGAAATTTCGATTATAACGAATAATATGAGATTGGCCACATTTTACAGGCCCAAAATAACGCTAAATTCTGTCATCCAATCCTAAGAATTGCGAAGAAAAGTTCAGACCAAGATGTTAGAACGAGAATTTTCTATCGTAATAAACTTTCTATTCTAACGATTATCACTTACCGTTTCTCAAGAAGTAACCATAAAAATTCAGGAAACTGTTAATATAAAGTGTAACAATATTTGCTTTTTTTAATCTAAATGTAATGCAGAGTATTCAGTTTTCGAAACAGAGAGAATATTCCCATGCCTGTTGTCAAAAATGCAATTAATATGACTAAATTTATTATGGAAATCATGCATCGAATCAGGAAATGAGTAACGGCAGAAATTAATGGTCAATTGCTTAGCTTATGGTTAAGGGTGAAAGAACAGTATGAAAGGAGAGTTACGAGAAGGCTATTTAACAGTCTTAATGATAAGGAAAATATGTCTTTCTGCAGTACAGTGCCGAATCAATTAATCCACTAATAGAAAATACATGAGAATTGTTGTTAAGACAAGAATGTTGCATTGTGAACTATTTATGAATGATTGATTTCGGAGTGAATGACATGACGGAATTCCTGCAATTCGGTTAAATGAAGCTTTAGAAGTTGCACGAGAAAATATTCGAGTGACTTTTATGCATTAATCGGATATCCTGAATGGTTATTGTTCACCTAATGTGAACTTTCCTTGAGATATTCAATTTTTATCTGATGTGACGTGTTCAAGTTGATATCGTCGGGGAGAAATCATAAACAGAAAGTATTAATGCTTCTTCTATGTTGTACGTAGGATATGTGATATCATTTTCAATCGTCATATGTTAAATATAGACCAAATATGCAAGTTATGTTTTTCATTTTAGATTTTGAAATAGATGGTGACTGTTTTCAAATAATATGAGCAGGATGTAGCAATAACAATGGATGTTGGCTGAATATTGAAAAAGAAAAGCTCAACTATGTCTTCACTTCTCAGTTTGTTAGTTTGTGATAAATTTTTGAAAAACAGCTAACAGTTCAGAGAAGAGTCGGAAATAACTGTTTTTTTTTGGTATGATCGAGAGAATCATATAAATAATGAGGATGATTTTATGACTGTGCATATTAGAAATTTGTTGCATGCGAGTATTAGAAAGATTAAGATTTGAAATTTTTTCAATTCAAAGGGATTTATCTTTGCAAGAACTGTGTATCTGGCATAAATTTCCTTTCATCTATGTAATTTTCAAGAAATATGCTCCCGGCATTGTTACGGGTATCATCGTTAACAAGAATGGTGCTGATACCTTTCCATATGGGTGCATTTCTCAGAGCCGGAGAATATGAATATCAGGATGCGGCATCGGAGAGCGAAGTCGTTTATGTTAATTTTATTTTACGTGATGGAACGGTGAAGAAAGTGAGAGGCAAAGTTGGTGATAATGTTATGTATCTAGCACACAGGTATCCAATTGAAACTGTCAGTTCTGTCTTTTCCATATAGGTAACTTAGAGCTAGTTATAGCATTTTCCGTTTAATTACAAATATTTTTCTCTGGAGGAGTTATTTAGAGTTGTTCAAAAGCCGAAAATGAACCTTTTTACAGTAAAGTTCGAGAGTTCTCTTTATTCAGAAACTTCTTTGCCACTATTCTACGCTGTTTTAAATTAAAAATGCGAGAATTTTCGAATGTACTAGAGTGTGACGAGAAACACATTAATATATTTTAAATAAATTATCCTTGCTTTTTCACAAATGCCTTCATGAAAAAGCATGAGACTAGTTTTTAGGAGAGGGCCGCAAAAGTATGTTTTATTCTGAGGTTCATGGCTATAATATATATATTTTAAGGCATAAAATCGATATTGAGGGAGCATGTGAGGCTTCATGTGCCTGTTCCACTTGCCATGTATATGTTGATGAGAAATTTTATCAGAAGTTACCTGAAGCAAAAGAAGCCGAGGATGATATGTTGGATGTGGCCCCCGCGTTAAAGCCTAATTCTCGTCTTTCATGTCAAATCATTTTAACCAAGGAATTAGAAAATGTTGTATTAACTTTGCCGCCAATAACTAGAAATTTTTATGTTGATGGTCATGTACCGACGCCACACTGAGTCATTAATAGTGTTTCTGAATTTCCGTTAATGCTTTAACTCACAAGTTATCAACTGCCAGACTGAGAAATATGTAAATCATCGTCAGAGGGAATGCTGGATCGACTGACCCTTATCTCTGGTATGATTTTGACTTCAAGAGATTTGGTTTTGAATGATATCTTACAAGCAAGACGTTTTTAAAACAATGCTGGTCAATTTTGTTTTTCTTTGTGGAAATTTGTGAATATGCTTTTGCTCTTCTGCTTGATTTCCCTATATGATAAGTATGCACAGTACTTCAGAAGAATACAGGGATTATGTTTTTGTGCGGGTATCAATTTTTTCCCTAATTTTTTCCCTGATTGCTAATCTGCATTATTTTTGCAACTTTATGCACTGCATGCATTGTGCAGAATCATGTCAATCAAAGAAATAAAAATTCCATCATATACATTTGATGTTTGACTCGTGGGAGATAATGCTTAAATTAACTGTCATCGTCCATTTCATCCACTTGTTAATAGCTGTGCCAGCTGCAGTCATGCAGAGCTGCACTTATATACTCGGTTTAAAATCAGAGAGTAAGGTTTGAAGTTGACAGACTTGGGTTTAAGATTTCATTTTTTCCTGAGATTAACAGAATTGAATGTGGAGTTACATCCAAAGATTTAGAATGTGCATGCACGCTAAAGTAGTATCAGAGAAAATCAACAGTTTGGATGGATACCTGTTTAAATATTTAGTGTTTAATGAAAATTGCAATATGACTCAAGCACATCCGCTTTAGTAAAAGCAGATATTTTATGGATATTGGATTTTTACGCAAATGCATGTTATTAGATTGCGGAAGTAATAAAATGCCTAGCGAACGCAAAAAGTAAGAATACAGGAGTTTGGCTGTGGATCAGTTAGGAATGCACCACAAGTTGAACGATCTATAGACACAATGAGTATGTTATGAGGACATTTCGGTACAGTGATGTCCGGAGAACAAGTGAGAGAATGATATAGAGTTTTGACCCTATATCGTGATGCAATTCGATCAGTTAGATCGGCTAATAATTGTTTCTGTTGTGCTGTTTTTGTTTCGAATATAGCCGCAATTGCTAGTGCCGAGCACTCTCCTTCACTAAACAAGTCCTTTTCGATCGCCGAATAATCGAAATCATCGTTAATAGGTACGGTTATATCTAGCGGAAGGCGGTCATCTACTCTTTCTAACTGCAAATTATCGCCATGATGATGTTTATGCTTTCCACTCATGTTAATTAGTAATGAAAAAGCTATCTATAAGATTATTTCCTATGCTTTAGCACCATTTGATAGTCTCAATGAAAGTGCAAAATATGTATTGGAATCTGCGATGATCTCAAGGATTGCAAGTGGAAATTATTTGTACCTCATTGTTTTCGAACTTAAAACGTTCATCGACGAACTCCAAGAATAATTGTTGAATTGCATATCGCTTATGAAATTCGACAATTTCCTGCAATTATAGCACATAAATATGTGTGTGTGTGTGTGTGTGATAATCTTAATGGAGCTTTTAACAAAATATATTTCATTACTAATAGAAGAGAGATTCGACATGATAACTTGGAAACTTACATCAGAAGGTTTAAAAAGATCATCACTTTGGTATGTTTTTGAATAGAAGAGCCTGTTGCGACGCATAATGGGATTGCTTGGATTCAGCAGAATGCTATTTGCAACGGCTTCGCATACATCTCTTCCACGATTCACTGGAAATTTTCAGAAATTGTTGAATGATCGCATCTTTTGCTCTAAAAAAAAAGTGCTGATAAAGTGTAACGATTCATTATTTAATATTCCTTCACGTTTGCAAAATATTAACATTATAAAGAAACCTTTTTTTTGATTCACTTGTTTCATTTGCATTGTTGTTTTTTTGTTACACAAGTTCGTTCTATTAAATCATTATTGCAGTCAGCTATGTTATTTATTACCTGAATATTACCCTCGGAAAATTTAAGCAAACCGAAAGAATATTTGCTCTACTGGTCTATCATGACTCGAAAAATAGGTAATCCTATTTTTTGGTAGATTAAACAGTTGGTAGATTAAACGGAATGGTGTAACAGTCTTGATGAGCAGTATTATCCGATATCATTTATTGTCGTGTTAAATGTCGTTTATGCTCCATCCTTCTTTGTTTTATAAGTAAACTAACACTTGTAGTAGCAAACATGAAGATATTCGAAATATGTTGGAAGAATGAATCCGATATCATGACCATTTACTCGTGACAGCTTTTTAACACAATCATGTTTACATCGCAGTACTGATAAATATATACCTGGAACAAATACTCAACATGAATATACGGAATTTCTGTACAATGTCCGAAAAATTCCACATGCATATAATGCAAATACAAACTTGTAATAATAATAGTGATTTCCGGATTGGCACTTTCAAACGCTTCCCAGTTTAATTTATCTTCGCAAATATGCCGACATTTTTGCTCCTCTTCAAAAAACTGTTTCACTGAAGTTTCGAATTCATTAACACACAACTGCCAGTCTCCATCGTTGTACGCTTTGACACCTTGCATATAGCTTGCCTGAATCCAGAAACAATTTAATTCGGCTGCATTATGAATAATAACTCCAAAGTTCCACTTGCCAAACATCTTTTTGACCATTTTATATTTCGCATATCAGACGACTTGAATAATAAATGATATACATGCATGAGATACAAGCATTCATACGATGCCATAATGTAGTTTAAAGAGTTAATATGATTTATATGTGGAGCGGAGAAGACTTAATTCAAAGAAAAAAGATTTTTTTTTTCTGATAGACTCTTTCATCAATTCGTCAGGTAAGGAGTTATTTTCAACTTTACGCCAGTCACCTCATTTATCAATTATCGATAAATATGATTAGGAAATCTTATTGACTTACCTCATATTTCATTTGTCGAGCATCGATAAGCATATCTTCATTATACCCATCTTGTTCCATGTAAAATGCTAAATTATCCAATGTTTCTTGATCTTTCGGATTTGCCACCAAATATGTATAAGCACTTCTTACAGCTGATGCCAAATCTTTTTGCTGAAAAGGATGGCTTTTTTAAGCCAAAATTACATTACAATGACATATGTCAGTTGGGAAATTTTGAAGAAAAAAAATATTTTGAAAAATACTTATTAAATAAAACCTTCCAGTAGCAAATTTGTAAATACTGATATGGCTTTCGGGCCTGGAACTCCTCGAAAATATCGGCATCATTTAACGGAGGTCTCATCGATGTTAATCGGTCATTTTTACACCGGAATAAGCACAATGCATGTTGTGCATTTGTGTACATCATTGCTATTTCCGCAATATCTTCTCCGGCATCTTTCAATTCTACAAATTTTAAAGATGAGCGAAATTCATCCATACTGGTAAGGTGTACAAAGGATAATCTGTATGAAGCAGTAAAAATAAGATAAAGAAATCCAGAATTAATCAGGATTGATGTCAATCGATTAGTTTAATTATTTGTAGAAATCAAATTACCATTGTCCCTCAGCGCTTTTAACCCCTAATGCAGTAAGAATAAGATCAATTTTCTGAATAATATATCCTTATTGGAAGTAAATTCAATAGAAATATTGAATAAAATAAACAGACCGGTGTGCCTATTTATTTTATGCTCTCGTGCGCATTTCTCGCGACACCACACATTTTCCTCGACAAAATAATCGAAATCCTCGATTGATCGAAGAAAGAACGCAATACAATCATTCCAGTTACCGTTCGTATACTCATTTTTGCCATATTTGTACAATTGTTCAAAGGTTACCCAAAAAAGTCATTCCTTATTGTGTTAATTTTTTTCGATGGAAAAGATTTTTGAAATCAGCCAGATTCTTGAAGATGTAAAAATCTCTCTAAATTTAAGTTGAAAAAAAAAAGTTTTTTAGCAATTTAAAAGAACTGAAGAAATTTCGGTAAAATAGAAGCTGTGATACGTTGGGAATGATAAAAATAGGATAGGATGTGAATTGTTGTTGAAAGATGAATACCTCAGGTTCTTCGGAAGTAGATATACCAAAATCTACAAGAAGTAATGGAAGTACGAATAAATAGATTGTGTGATGATGGTGATGGTGATGATGATGCATTATTGCCAGACAAGACAAGGAAAAGGCTCAAGGGTTTTGTGAAGGAGCGAAATAGCTGTGGGAAGTAGCAGCGCAGATTGTTGATCAGCTCGGGTCACACTCCATCTCCCACCTCTTCAGGGGGTGCCACCTCACTATCCAACAACTTCTTCTATACATCGTTCGTACTACTTGCATGGCAAACAGCTGGTAGTATTGCATTAATCAATCTTATAATAATATTGTTTCGGAATGGCACCTTAAAGAACGTATTTTCTGGAGCGATAGCTTTGTAGATCGCAGAAAACGAAAAGTTTGATGTGCAAGTTTTTGAATTCTCGTTGTGTTGCAAGTAGTAAGGGAGATAAAAGATATTTAGTTAGAGCCGAACAGTTATGGTTTGCTAATAGAGGAGTAGGGACCCCGAAGTTTTATCTATTAATAAATCTAGCTCGAACTAATGTTCACGTTTTGACGTGGAGCTATCAAAGTTTTTTGTAAATCCCACAGTTTTGTTCTGGATAAATTTTTTCTTATTAATTCCACAATTGAAATTTCAAGCAGTGGCCACTGCATTAATTGTCAGTTTGTTCGTTTGTTGAGCACTTAATTAAAGGTATCGACTGAATGAAATTAAAATTAAATTGGTAGGATATGGTAAAATAATTGAATCTTTGCACATATGTGAGAGATACTTTAACAATTTAACAACTTTACGAAACATATCCCAAATCAGACTAATTATCAATGAGCATTGTTGTATTATTTACAATATTAGTGCGGTCTAATTAAAAAAATAGCCATTTGATGTTTGATGTTTGCATAAAAAATCTTTTTTCAAATTGAAGTAGCAAACTAAACTTTCAAAATATTTTTATTAGTTCAATTTCTTTCTCGTAGCGTTAGGAAGTGAGTGAAAGGCATCAAAATCGTTCCCATTCTATGCAAGCAAGTGAAATAAATTGACTGTTTGTATACCATTAAAAAATCCTTTTTTTTCTTTTAGATTAAAATAGTTTTTTCATGTTAACTTCATGTATGATCTGAAAATATTATTTTATTAGAGAAGAAATGTTACATAAATTTATAACTGAATAAATCATATAGAAAATAATTGAAAATGGTAATTTGTTTGACATCTTTTTAAGCCTACGCAATCCAAATGAAAGATTGAAGACTTAACAAAAATAATTCGACAAATGAAACTGCATCAAGAATAACATCGTACCATAAGAAGAAATTTGCTGCTACATTAAAATATTATAAGTTTTGTTATCGCTTCTATCTTTGGTATATTCTTATTGCAAAATCTGGTAAACAAAATGAAATAATACGAAGGTTAACATGGATTTTCGAGAATAAAGTAAACTTGTCAAAACAAAGAAGAATTCCATCCAAATTAAGCAAAAAGCGAAAACAAAAAAAAACAACCAACACTTGGCTAAAAAAGGACAAAATTTTGATTGTGGATGATAACTACTGATTTAACAGTTGGGAAAAAAACTTAAGACATGCAGCAATACATTTTCAGAATTGGCATTTCCAGGTATCGACTACTACTACTAGTACCAGTACTGAGAAAATTGTAAAGACAATTTCCAGATAGTGTAAAATGCGTACGTGGTGCAACAATCTTGTCTCGAAAAAAAATCAATTGAACAAGGAAAAATGAATATGTTTTTTAAGGGAAAATGCGCATCTGAACTATCATACAACTATTTTCCGCTCTGCTAATTATTCATTATGTGTAAATTACGCAGCTACTTTAAAACAGTTACAGTAAAGGAAAATTTGTAGCTAAGGATATCTTATATCGTACAAATGTCAGTCCTATGGTTGTCTGTTTTATTGTTTACTGTGTTCAAGCTTAATTCTTATTAATTAATGTACTTGTGAATAAATTTACGAAATATGAAGGTTAAAATTGACAATTCCTCTTTTGTCCGTCCCTTGGTTTTTGTCGCATGTAACCTTTTATAGATTTTAAACAGCAAATTTGAAAATGTTCACAAATTTTGATATAATTTTCTTTCAACATAGATAAAATAATCTTTGTTATTGCTTGTTAATAAACTTTATACGACGCTGATAGGAATCGTATTCTTTCAAAAGTATATCTTTAATTATGCTTTTCAGTAAAAATTGTCTTAAATCTCTCCTTCACTGCTTTTCTTCGTATCATGTGGCTGCTCACGTACTTTTCAATATATTATTCAAGAATTACTTGGACAAAAGCTTTCATGAAACAAGCGCTTTTTGTAATCAAAAAATATCATTAAGTTTAAATGATTGTATTTGGTAATTTTCAAAAAAATTAAAGTGACAAAAATATACGCATATGATTTTGAATAAAATATGCACTTAAATTTTCTAGAAGCGATTGCGAGAAGGAGGAACCATCAATTGTGTAGAGCTATTCAAAAAACGTATAGAATAATTGTCTTCAATTTGTCGCCATAATTGCAAGCCATATGACATATTTGACAACAAACGAAAGAAGACATCACCGTTCACAAGCGCTTTTTCACTTCCTTCCCATGTGTAAACCATTATTTTTCGTTTTAAATCCACTAAGTGTGCTTCAACTTTCTTTGCCAAAATTCCAGTTATGAAGTAATCATCGATCTACAATTAAATTTTCATCTCCACTCTCTAAACTTTTAAGCTGGTCTATGCAATTTCTCATAAAATGGGCTTAAAGCTAAATCATCTTAACAATTTTCAATCTCTTTTTGCTTGTCATTGAGGACAAAATAAGCAAATCACTTATCATATCACGTTTACTTAAGTTACTTTAATTGTCATTTAGGGATAAGTAACTGTACTTTTGATTTTAATATATTTCAATAGTTTTCCAAAAATTTTATAGTAGCCTAAAAATTTAATCAGTGTTTTTTAATTTTTCAGTTTAATTTATCATATTGTCCTTGATTAGAAGAAATGTATTGTACAAAGCAACGAACCCAGAAATATCTTTCTTGTATGGCCGCTCGTAACAGTAAGCTTGATAAATCACCAGTGAATATAATTGCCATACCCACGCAATAGTTTGAATAATATTTAGAAGGTAATTCATCCTCTGTTACATACCTTTAACAATTATCGGATTTCCAGAAATATCCACAAATGTTTACATGATAAATTTGCAAGAAAAAAATGCAAAAAAATACGAATGACTTATTTAAATATTAACACATGCCATTTATCCTTCTTCTCTCGTGATACTTGTCGATGATAAATGACTCGGCAAAAGATTTGTTTCTCTGATTCCAATAAGCTTACTGTTTTAAAATGCACATTCAAAAAATGAAGCGTTTGTAATATATTGCCTACCACGTCATCATCAAGTTTTATTATGTACTGTATGTTCGGACAATATTCATCCATGAAGCGAAGCCACATTAGCGCCTGAAAGTTATTCATATAGATATTCATCTATCCTTTGCACATTTTGCCTTCCATTTACTGATGGATTATGTCTATAAATTCCTAAAAGATATATCAGTTATTAAAGGAGAACTATTAAGTGGATATTGCAAGTCAATATCGGAAGTTTTTTTAAAGATTCAATTCAATACAAGTGGACCAAACCATATTAATTGTAATTTAGTGTATCTTCAATGAATTTTGCTGCTCACTATAGAAGTTAAAACATGTTTAAATTCAACCTTCCATGTTAAATTTTTATAGCTGTCACGAAAGTTTTGTTGTATAAGATCGCGCTCTCTTCTTGATTCTTCAACTAGCTGTTTCTGCACTTTATTATCCTCTGGCATACCCAATACAAATAATGTTGTAATGCCATACTGTAAATAATCTATTTATTTACTTTTTTCAGATTATGATAATTTTATAAATCGTTTACATGAATAAATTATATCATTTCTTACTACGCAAATAACTTATAAAAATCTGTTCAACTTCTTTGAATTAAATGAAAAAGTAAACGTTATGAGTTGAAGAATAAAGAAATACTCCTGTTATATTTCATTTGTCGGGAAGTGTATATCTTTCATTTTAATTCAAATATTGATATTGCAATTAAAACTTTCTAAATTAAAGATGAAACGTGATTGGAACCTAAGGACCACGTTCAATTTCATTTAAAACTGATAGATTGGAATATCCAACCTTTTTATAAAAATGCTGGCCATACATTTGTCGTAAGAGTACACGTTGTTCAAAATGATCAGTAGCAGAATGAATAACGATTATAACTGTTAGGTTTGGATATAGTACGGTACAAAACGTTTTCTCCAGAATCATCCAGTCATATTGATATGGGTTAAGCAAAACACTACCTTCATTATGGTTATCATTATTATACATCTGCAAAAAATATACTTCGCAATTTAATACCATCAAATCAAATGTATTTAATTTTGCTGATCAAAAAATTAACAGAGAAGAACAAACCGATGCAGTAAATTCAGTGAGATTAACTGATACCCTTTTATTTATTGAAGAAAGATTGATTAAATTTTCAGTGAATGAATTACTCTTCATTACTACTAATGTGGTTAACGATAGAACGAAGTAGAAATAACAAAATAGTAGACAGCAGCATAAGGTTACTGAAAAATACAACTTGGAACGTATCGATGTTCCGTGCCAGTAGCGTTTCATCTCTTAGTCTTTCTAAATTTCAAAATTACAAAATGGGACGATAATTTTAATTTCGGTACATTATAGTAGGAATAATAAAATATGCTATTACTTTTTTTCAAAATTGAATGGGCAGGTAAGAGAAGACAAATAGTACCTAATAATATAATTTGATTTTCAATTAGTTGACCAAATTTTAATTCTTAATTATTTGCTTGATCACTTTTATAATGAAAACAAATAATCGTTTTGTAAGAATAAGTGAATTTCTTTTTTTTATAAAGTCTTGCAGAAGAATGACATTAAGCCAAGTAATTATCCAGTTCCAGATATGCTAAAGGATAAAAATTCCTCGTTGGCGTTTGGTGACATTTTCACATGAGCTGACATAAGTGGAACTGACTGTTCTCTGCAGTCGTACCAATGATGAACAAATTTATTTAGTACGAAAGTTTTGAATCTGTGATTCAATCAAATGGGACAATATTTTGCTATTTAAAAGAAAAGTTCTAGAACCAATTATTTATTTGAGATTTCCTTGTAGTTTTGAAAATTTGATGCAGAAAAAAATGGTAAGAAAAATGAAAATATTACCATAAGGGGAGTTATTATATAGTCAAAGCAAGAGTAATTTTTATATAAAATAAACATGCAAAAGGAGGAAAAATTTATGCCTCTTAATTTTAGCCTATTAAAATAGCTGCTTATATGAGAACGAAATTAAAGTACTTTCATTCAAATAACATTTGGAACATTTGGTTTACATTTAGTTTGATTTTTTTGCTCTGAAATGATACATGAGGAATTGGATGGAAGAGTAACAGAATGGAAGATATATTTTAGAGATGAACCGTTTTTCATTACAAAACAATTTTTCTTCAAAATGCCTTTTTCTTTTTAACAAATCTGTACTCATAATTGCATTTCTTGATGTGAACAAAATTCTTTAGTTTCAGTCTACCCTTAATTTTTAAATTAAAATTGAATAAAAATTACAGTACTTCAACTATTTAGCAATAAATTATTCGTGAAGTGCAGATATATCAAACAATATCTTCTTTGGTATAGATATAATATATTAAGTGAAGAAATATTACGTTATCCACAAATATACACACATACACACATACATACATTTCCCTATTAACTTGTTTAGTGAAAACAACATTTATACAATCGGATTGAATGAATTTATAAAAATGAGTAAAACCAAATAGTATGCTAGTGAATGTATTTATAAATGATGCGCAAAGACCAGAAATAGTAGCTAGCACCATCTGACTTTGATTCGGGAGAATCTAGTACTTGGAATATATTTCCCGTTATTACTACACGTAAAATTTGTTGAAAACTTGAATATTTTTTGAATTTAGAAATTCCGTTAGGAAAGAGATTAAAGTAGATCAGAAAAAATTACGCAAGTCATATTGAGTTCTTGCAGGAGTTTTGGAAAATTTTTCCAAAAAACATTCTATGCTAAACAATTCCTAACAATCTTATCATATCTCATCCCCTTGCCGTTTCAATGATCATTTTCGCATATTATCACTATTTCGTACATTTACTAATGCCAAATGAAGTTTTAAACCCAGACATTTCTGGATTTAGCAAAAAAAATTTTGTTGATAGCACTGAAACAAGCGATTACTCTCTTTTTTGCGTTTATCAAGTCCAACAGAGTGGAAAATCCTTCAATCTACCTTTTATTGAAGAAATTGTCATTACGTTGAAGAAATGAATGATGGAAATGCTGTTTCTATCTTTTCACGATAAAATAAGTTTTTATACTTTTTTTTTTGGCATCACCACAGTTATCAGTACAATACGCTTACTGATGATAGCGAAGATTCCGTTCTCAACAGTATCGATTGTCTTCACAATCAGATTTTGTCATCTTAATGCAACAACATTTTCTGCTTGATCAATAACAGTTCTGTGTTTAATTTGATAAGCTTTAACTCAGTTTTAATTTAAAAACTTCCAAGCGCGCTGAATTTGAAAATAAAATCAATTTCAACAAATGACGTCATTATGATGCTAACTGATGGAAAGTGTGGCAGAATGACAAAATGATGACCTCATCACACCCGTGCAAAGCACCGTGTGTGGTCTGTGTGGCAAGGAACTACAGCGCTCTTGGGAAAAGATTGTTAAATTTGATTACATAACGATAGTTGAATGAAGCGTCGCTTTTGTTGAGGATTAAAAGCATAGTCCGATGCTGTCGATCTTCGCTCCCGGATATTTTGTATTCGAGACTTCTCAATTTAAAATAATTAAACGAAACTCTGATATAAGGGAAAATAAAAGTTTGTGTGCGCGTGTGCATTCTATGTGCATTCTGCCGAATGCAGCCACTTCATTCAAGCTAAACTCAGTTACTAACGGTGCTTGTTTTAGCAGTACTTGAGCTTTGATGATGGTTCAAAAATCAGTTCGAATAGACGAATTCTTTTTTTTTTAAAATACATTTGCCTCATTTAATTTGCCTTTTGCATGATCTGAATACTGTGCAAATTACGTGTAATTCAGATTTTTCTTCAAGTTTCAAAGTTATTTGAGAATCTGCGCAGTTCTCAACTGCCTGTTGTGTTCCACCAAATCAATGAAAAATTGGATAACTTCTAAATCATTTCTAAAGTCGGTAAATGATGTCATACTACAGACAAGACTTTATGAGGACGACTGATAACACGAACAACCAGGAACATAGGAGAGATTGGGATAAAGACAAAAAAGTAAAGTGGAATCTTATGATAATGTTAAGTAAGCAGAGTTTTTTGTCAATTTTATCATTATGTTGCTAATAAAAAACAGCTACCAGCTATTTTTCCCTGTAATAGTTTGAGCGCATTATTCGATCTCACTAGCTGATTATTCGCTTTTCATATTCCAGCAATCGGGATCTTCCAACTTATCATCCCAACATTCATCATATAATATTTCCCAAATGAGCAATAGGGATTTCCATTTATTTAAAAAAAGTTCACCGCTGAAAGTAAAACAATCTTTCTTGTTTACATCCATACTCATATTGTTGCAATTTATTTGGAAAAAAAAGCTATATTTAATGGAAATCAAAAATGAACTTTATTTGTATTTGGTGTCCATTCTGTGCGCTGCTTTAGAAATATTCGATTTATAATTTAGAAACTGTTCTATTATCCAAAGTAATTTTCTTCTTCATTATTAAAAAATTCCGCTACAATTTGCTAAGATCAAAAAGCAAAGAAGTATCATAGAAATTTTCAATCTTGAAAATTCATCCCTGTTAAATAAACTAATTTAACAATGCTAAACACAATTTTCGCATACTAAACCTAACTTCATTAACGTGTAAAATCAAATTATTAACAACATTTTATGCAAAGCTGTGGGAGGTAACTGGTGCTGATGCAATCCATCATTATCTATTGGATCAAAATTGCCTATAATTTTTTCTTTCAAACTGAATTTTAGCATACAAAAACAGGTAAAGCACTTGTGATTAACTACAATGACTTATATAGTTCTGGAAAGATGGCGCTAGGCGTAGGAAGAAACCAGGGAATATAGATCAGATTCAGGAATAGAAAAAGCATACCACTATTAGATTACCAAAATGTAAACCTGAGTTAACACTTACAGCACGAAAACAGGGGTCATTATGCAAAAGTGAAAAGTATGAAACGAAGGGAGTGTTAGGGGAAATGATAAACAATACACTTCCAACCGAAGTGCTGCGTTAAAATAATTAAAAATTAAAAATTGAAAGTCAAATAATGCGGAAAATCCCGTGAGATATTGATATTTTCTAGAATATGTCATCAGGATATTAATTTCAAAATACCTGTTTTCGAGGGGTTAAACGTTACACTTCGAGTTTTTCAAGATTTATCCTTATGTTCCATTTCAGGAATCATCGGTAACACACAAAGCAATAGTTAAGACTTTCGAACAATATGAAACATATTTGAGGAATTTCAATAGTATATTACTTGTGTAGCACTTGCACAAAACCAATTTAAGCATCCGAAAAGTGCCTTTATAATGCTGTTAGACCACTATAATAATGTATAAGACAGTCAAATGATTTTTCAGCATTTTATGCAATTTATCAAATGACAAATAACAGTGACAAAATAATAAAACCATTGAACAATGAAATCGAAAACAATGGGAATAACGCAAAGTATCTTTGTTGTACGAAACTGGATGAATACAGAGTTTGAATTTCTAGGCTATTCATATATATTTTGGATCAAACTAATAAATGCTTTTTAGATTGCATCGCGTAGTACAGTGTCTAAATGTTTACACATCTTTCTAGATTTGTCCGATTAAATGCTACATGAACTTCTTGGACATTAGTCATTAAATTATTCTGGCTAATATACTCATTTGTCAG